GGAGTTCGGTCGTGGGTTCGAGTCTCGCCCACGACCGAAGTGGTAGGCTGCCACCTTGACCGCTCGGCCATCCAGCCTTCTGACTTCGTCTATGTCAACTAGGGTTTCTCAAACGGGATTCCGGGATCCCGGCTGTTTTTTTAACCCGGGAAATAACCCCGGAAATTTTTCTTATCCCGGAAAATCCCGCAAATTTCTTAAAAATTCACTTTTTTTCTTATTTTGTGTTAAGGTTGGGGAATTTTGCAAATAGAAAGCATAATTAACTCATTCACTGTCAGAATACATTTGTATTTATTAATTTTAAACCTACCTATTAGTTTTTTTAAATTTTTGCTCGTTATAGCATGTCACAAATGGTCAATAATCAATATATAGCTTATTTGTGGCATGACTATAAAAATTCTTTACTTGTCGGAACCTGTAATATCTGGAATAATTGTGCTTACGCTGTCTTGAGTTTTAACCATGCCCAGTAGCTTCAATAAATGCCTGACGCCAGATTGTGCAAATTGGGCAAGGATACAAACGAGTACAAAGTCTGCAAGTATGAAGTTTTTCTTCATAAACCTGATTATTAAAGCCAAATGAATTGCCGAATTATCGAGCTCTAAGCTTGATGCCGCTATTAAAGCAGCCAAGGTAGACAAATCAAGAATACTAGAGAGCGAAAGAAGTACTACAATCTCGAAAACGAACTCGAAAGCTTCCAGGCTACAGGTGAAAAAACACATAATATCTGTCTTCTCTTAAATGCATTAAACACTATTCCAATCACATCAATTGAATCGGAAAGGGCATTCTCGGTGGCAAGACTTTTCATTACTAAAATAAGAATTAGAGTGAGTTATCGGAGTATTGACCATCTTTGCTTTTTAAAATCTTATAAAAGTTTGCAATATTTTGTATTATATTTTATTTAAAAAACGAAAATTACCTTCTAAATTAGAAGTTCATTTTTTTAATTTTTAACTCAATTCAAAACATTTTTTTTTGTTGTTGTTGTATGCAGTTTCCAGCAAACTTTAATTAATTTTTTTCTATTTGTGAAAATTTCTACGTTATTTAAAGGTAATTTTTATTATAGGCCTATAGACCTTACACAGCATTATTAATATGATTTTGGAGGTTACAGAACTTTAAAATTACTTTAAAAAATGGAAAATAATTATATCATTTGATTTCAAGATATTTTGTATACCTTAAAAATAATTAATTCTATCCCGGGATTTCCCGGGATCCCGGGAAACAGTTCACTTTTATCTCGGGATCCCGGGACAAGCAAAAGACCGGGAAACGAGAAACCCTAATGTCAACTGTTGTAGCTATAAGCTTATTCTTTTGGTTATAATAAACAAGGTAACTGTGGAGTTTGTCTCTGTGCCAAGCGCATCACGTTTCTGAGCGACTCGGACATTGACGTCACATGCGGTTCGGCGACCTCACATTTATACATGTTACATACTTTATTTCTTTACAAGTAAGTAGAAAAGTCTCGAAGAACAAATGATATCTACCCTCCAAAATTAATACTGTATACCTAAAAACAGACAACAATTACATAAAATTAAAAATACATTATATTATACATTAAATAACAAATATACATTAAAACAAAAAAGTATAAAAGTTCTTCAAAAGAATTTGTTTTCGAAGAACTTACAGTATGTTGTTCCTAAACGTTTTCTTTTCCTAAGTTAGAAATAACTCATAACTTATAACCAGGGGTGCCGCTAGCAGTTTGAACGCCCGCGTGCAATACCGATTATGCCGCCTCCTGATTAACTACGACTACCTACGCTGAGCTTGCCAGAAAGGCTCTTTAGTGTTGTCTCATAAGGGTGTGAAAAAAGAAAAGAAATACTTTACAAAGAAAATCTATTTATTATTACTAAGTTATTTTTGTTTACTTAAGTGTAAAACCATATAAATATTTATCTATAGAAATTGAACTTCTCTTGCCTTTATGTTTGCGAAATCTGCTATCAATTTTCATGTATCCAAGCTGTCTAAGATTACGTGTTCAATTGAAACTATAGCTAAATTACTTAATCTTTGCTGGTGCGTTGTTGATCTTAAATAGTTTTTTTATAATTTTAACTTTGAAGAGGACCTTTCACCAAATGCAACTGAAACCGGCAATGTAAGTAAAATTCTTAGTGCTATTGCTGTGTTCGGAAATGTTGAAATTAAGCCATTAGTAAAAAATATTGTAATAAGGTTTGTGGATCATTAGACTGGTTTTCTAGAAAATGCAACTTTAAAGTATTGATTTCATTAAACAAATCAATACCGTCAATGTCTGTTTCACTACTTGCATCGTCTTTAAGCTTCAGATTTAAATCCTAACCAAGTTAAAATATCATTAATTATACTTAGACCCATGTCAGAAGAATTATTAACAAAATAATTGCAATTTGATACGCGATAGAACTGTTCGAATGCGTACAAGTACAAATTGAGAAGGAAGCTCTGTGGGGATTCCCTAATTTCGCCAGTCCTGTCAACTTCTGTAATAGAGCACGACTATGAGTACTTGGCTTTCGGCCGCCGCCGGATGGTTCAACCTGCCAACAGACGTTTCGCATTGCATCTTAATTTTGATAAATGCCAATAGAGGCGCTCTTAACGCTATAATATAGGCTAAATAAGAATATAGTAATTGCGCTCCGGTCGGATTTTTTTCTCCTTGCGAAGACATTTCTTATGCTATAAGTAGGGTGGGTATTGTGACAATGACTTTGAATATTACGTGACCGATCGCTCGATTCGCCGCCCCTTGGACGTGCCGCCGTGGACGTGCGGTCCACGCCTTGCACGCCCGCTTACGGCGGGCCTGCTTATAACTCATACATCATAAGTCTTAACCATCGCCTAGCTTTCGTGTACCCTAAGGACCAAAGACGTATTCAAAACTTCCTGATGAAGCCGAAAAAGTTATGCAACTCGTTGCTGGATTTTTGGAACATGAATAGACCCAGCGTTGCCAGATCTGAAGGTTAAAAAGTAGCGTGGTTGTGCTCCAAAAGTAGCGGATTAACTGTTTGTAGTCCAAACAATAAAAATGAATTATTTTGCAACTATGCACTTTTACTAATGAAATAAGTTTTTAATACATATATGTATGGACATTTGGTGTATCTGCATCAATTTTCTCTAAATCAAAGCGAGTCATTCGCAGGCGAGGCGATTCATTTTTTGAACTTAGACTTAGCGACTACGGCTTTTGTTTTCAGTTTTAAGGCCCCTGTTTCCATTGTATCAAGAACTGTTGTATCAAAATTTAATAACTTTTGGATCACTTATTGGGAGAGAAAATTGGCAATTCCAACAGGATAATGCTGCCATTCATTCATCAAAGTCAATTAAAAATTGGTAGTAACGATGTGAACTCAACAAATATCTAGTGTTGCCAAATCTAAAGTTACTAAAACGTAACAAGTTCGATACTCGTTTAATACTTGTTTTAGTACTAAAAAGTACAGTAGAACCTCGATTATCCGGACTAATTGGGGATGAAGGTAGTCCGGATAAGGAAAAATCCGGATAATCGAAACAAATACTTTAATTTGTCTTTTAATGATAATACAACATGTTTTCTTTTCGATGACATATCGGTAATATTAAAAGTAAATACAGTATTTAAATTGTGATCAAATTTTCAAGAAACAAACGTTCTTATTGAATTTGGACTACTATTGACCAACGCTAACAGACTATCTATTGTTTAAAAGGCCCTCTGGTGAGGCAAGAAGACAGATTTTATAAAATAAAAAGCAGTCGAAACTACATTTTTATGAATAAAAATTTGACAAACTATTTATCGTTTTATGACGAGTAAAATTTTTTCGTCTCGTACACGGCTTTTAAGTAATGCATAAACCTTCGAGGCGCGAGGTCCTTCGGACCGCGAGGCATAGGCGGTGGCCCACGTCGTCCATGCCTTACGCCGCCCTTGGTCGTAGAAATGATGTAATTTGAATATAAATTATTTATAAATGCGTATGTCAAGTTATATTTTTATTACTACGTAAAATATATTTAAGAGTTTACGACCACTGTGATGGGTGAGACGTTGTTGAAACAAAAAAAGTTATGCATTCCATCACGTATATAAACTGTCGTAATTCGCCAAGTGCAAATCAGCAAATTCGTAAAATTTTGTTTATTTTGAACAATCCGGATAATCGAAAATCCGGATAATAGAGGTCCGGATAATGGAGGTTCTACTGTACTAAAGGATTAAACGAGTATCGAACATGTTACGTTTCAGTAAAACTATCGTTCATTGCAAATAGAAATATTGAACAAAACTTTAAATAAAATAAAAAATATAAAAATATGGCCGGCGGTAATACATTTAATTTCATTACACTTAATTGTATAAATAAATATAAAGTTGTAACGTTTAACAAAGATAAAGATACTTTGCTTCCGTTTTCCATCCGTCGTTCGCTCCAGTAGACAATCCACAATTTCAGAAGCAAGGTCGCCTCCGTGCAACTTGCAACTTTATACAATTATTTATACAATTCAAACGTTGCAACTTTATTTATTCAATTAAGTGTAATGAAATTAAATAAAACTTTATTAGTTTTGTATAATACAAAAAATGTGTTGCGATTTTATATATGAAAATAAAAAAGTAGCGTATTTTTAACATTTGTAGCATGAAGATAATTATCACTTGCCCAAAAAGTAGCTGTGTCGCCCAATTTGAAATTTTTGTAGCGAGAGCACTTAAAAAGTAGCCCAATCTGGCAACTTTGAATAGACCTAGTTTGAAAAATTCAAGAAACACTAATTTAAAAAGTATTATTTGAGGAAATGTTATAACGAACATGCGACAATCTCATAAGACACGTAAACCTTTATTATTACTGCATTTAAGTAACAAATCACGACATTAAATTATAAAAAATATTTTAAAATTAAATAAATGACTCATTGTTCAAGTTAGGTAATGTAAAGACGAGTTAGACCTTTAAACTTGTAACAAACGCTTTCATTTTTGATAAAGATAATCTATTTAGAGAGATAAAAAAAAATAAACGCCTTCAATTTTTTTTCTAGAACATTATAGAAGATAATGCCTTGTGGAAGTGAATTAAGTAAAGATCCACCCGATATTGAGGTAATTTTGGTTACTATTACCTAATAGACTTCATAATTAGAAATATGAAAAACATATTTGCAATATTTTATATTATATTTTAGTTATTTATAAATTAATTATGAAATAATTAACTTGATATATTAATTGAAGCTGTTATCGTCTAAAGCAGGGATCTCAAACCCAAACACAGCAAAGGGCTAGTCAAATAGATATATATCAGATACCAGCTGTATTTATTTTTTGGTAAACCAAAACACACTGTAAACTAATTAAAAAAATGCTCTAACAAAGGCCCTTTTGTGTCGATATTTTGAAAGAATCAAATGATTATAATTGATCATATTGATTACCATAATTATGTAATTTTCAATTACATAATTTTGGTAAGCAATTTATTAAGTCATTCATTAAATTTATCTGTTACAATTATTTGTTTAATGAAATGAATTACAGTATTGGTAATAATTTATAAAACTAATTTATAGAGGCTTATAAAATAATTTAGATTAAAACTTTTTGTACTTTTTATTAAAAAAAACAATAGTCTATAGCATATAATTGTAATAAATTTTAAATTACTCACAAAATTTGTTCTCAGAGTATCCTTGCTCTCAATCCAAAAACACCAAAATATGCTAATGTTGTACCTACAGCCAAAACCAAAATTGCAAAAACTCATTGGAAAAGAAATCATGATAAACGATGCAGTGTAAGTAACATTTTTAACTTTTACAAGAGAATTTAATATAAATATACCAATACTTAAGAATATTTTCTGAAATTTATAAATTTAAATTCCATATTTAAAAAATAAATTATTTTATTTAATGTGTTTTTTAGTCATACAGATCTTTATATAAAGATTTTGATGATATAAAGCACACAACTTTAAGTGAAAGAGGAGCACTTAGAGAGGCTGCAAGGTATATCTTAATTAATGTTTAAAAAGTGAAAAAATTATTAATGTATAAATTAAAATTTACCTTAATTTATTGGTTAAAACAGTTAATTTAATTGTTTTATTACTTATGTCACCTATGTTATTTGTCAAATGTTTATATTTTTTTATAGTATTGATGACTTTTAACGTGTCATTTCTTTGTCTTTGCTTTTTCCCATATTTATTTGGGCTAAACATTTCCTTCTTTAATCTGCCTTCTCTACTTTCTCTTCAGGGTGTCCTCTCTCCTAAATCCTCTGCCACCTTGTTTCATCATCTCAGCTTCGGTTTATCCATTATTCCAATTAGTTTAGACATATAAGTTTTACAGCCTGTTGTCCTTCCTGACATCAATTCTCACCATTTACCTGGACTTGAGATTGACACCTAATGAGGCTGGCTTGTCCCCTTTGATGGCTGGTTTTCTTTTAATGTATCATATAAATATCTTAATTCAAAGTTTGCTTTATTTTTTGATGCTAGCTTTTATTATGTTAATAGAACAAATATTTACAGAAGACCACCTTCAAAATAAGCATCATCTGCAGCTATACATTTTGCCAGTGTTCACACCATAGTCATACAGCCCATTTTGCATTATCTTCTTGATAGTAATTAAGGTTGCCAGACAAAGTGCTGCCAAGAGGGAAGCTGGAGATTTTTCCCCCAGATCCAGAAAAAAGTTAGGACCTTATAGTGGTTCCTACCTCTATAAAATTCATGTTATTTTTACTAACAGAAAATATCTTTAAAACTACTTTTTATTAATAAAGAAACATTCTATGTATTTCATTTGTTTAAAAAAATATGGCTAAAGGGGCCTGCTCTACCCCTGGGTCATGTATGAGCTCTAGATGGCCTTGGCCAGGCAGCAGGCCCCTTTAGCCATATTTTTTTAAACAAATGAAATACATAGAATGTTTCTTTATGTTGAAGGACAGTTCTTTATTTTATGTTATTTGAATCAAGAAAGTATGCAATTTATCCTTTATTTTCATTTTTGCCAGCTGTATTTTGTATGGCAATGATGGATTTTTGCACAAGCTTATGTCTGTCCTATACTTATTAATCCATATTCTTTCCCATAGAAGTATATGGTTTACCATTTAATATTTTAAATTCTAAATTAAAGTAAAATTTGCAAATATTTACAGTCTGATTTATATGTTATATTTTTCATACTAAGTCTAAAAAGTATAAATGTTGTTATTAACTAAAAAGTCATTCAGTTTTACTTTTCTTCGTAGGATGGCACCTTAAGTGCGGTTGACAAAAGCCTTTTTCAGTTTTTTGTTGATTTGAATCTTTGACCTTTTAGTTGAACTTTCATTTTGGTGAAGACATGAAAGTTTGCAGGAACAACATATAGAATAGTAAAACATGTCATTGTACTAAATTTAATACAGATTATCAAACTATACTGAGCCATATGTTTAGTTTTATGCTTGATACCCACACATGAATTCAACATTTGAAAGTTTAATTAAAACAGTATTAATCACTGAAGTATTAAATATAAAATCACTTTATTACTGAAATTATAAAATCACCATATTACTGAAATTGTGAATTATATCAATTTATTAAACTTTTGTCATTTAGTAATGAGTTCATGCATGCTATTGCTATATTCAGTGTGATCTGTTTCATTTAACTTAGCTTGTCTGTTTTATATTTTAAGGATTAGTGAACTTATAAAATTAATTTATTTCTCCATATTATATTTAAAGCATTAAATCATTACTTTCTTTACACATAATACACATGTGTAAGAAAGTTGCAATATATAAAAAAGCTCTATTTTACTTAATGAAATTAATTTTATTTAATAGATGCTTGAAATGTGCTGATGCACCTTGTCAAAAAGGATGCCCAACTCAAATTGATATAAAAGCTTTTATTAGCAGTATTTCTACAAAAGTAAGTATTCAAACTTTATATAAATTTATATTAAAATATTTACTTCTAAATATAAATACAGTAAGAACAGAAAAAGAACATAAGATATGATGACATTAAGAACAAGCATTTCAGAATTCTGGGACATTGTTCTTAATCTTATGTTTGATTGGTCTGAAGATGGAACATAACGGTCCTAAAAACATTCAACTGAACAGAATTTTCCAGGACCTCTTGATTTGAATTGCTAGTGAGTTAGTGTAATTAATAAATATTATTTAAAAATTAAATATCTTTAAAGAATGATTAATAAAATATTATAAATAACATTATAAAGGAGAAAATCAATAAAATGACATCACAATCATTTTATAAAAATTTTTTATTTATAATAATCGAAATATATTCAAAACTATCTTGATTAAACTTCTTTATGGGGAATCACAATATAATTTATTGTGTAATATACTCTATAAGCCAAACTCTTGCAAGGTCTTTCTGGTCAATCAAAAAATCCAGTTACAAATGGGATATCTTTATTCTTTCCTTTCAGTAAAACATAATTTATGCATTTTGGATTGAAGTGTAATTAACACTTTTATATACATACTAAAACTTTGCTATTTTAAATTTACTTGCTATTTTCATTATAATAGAATTATTATGGAGCTGCCAAAGTCATACTTTCTGACAACCCATTAGGACTTACTTGTGGTATGGTGTGTCCAACTAGTGATCTGTGTGTAGGTGGTTGCAATTTATATGCTTCAGAAGAAGGACCAATCAATATTGGTGGATTACAACATTTTGCTACAGAGGTAATAAAATTGATATCAAACTATTTTATTCTTTAAATTTGAATTTTGATGCTCATAGGAACAAAACTTATTTTATTGCAATCTTTTCAAAATTTTAATTCATTAGGATTGTTTTTATTGGACTGCAATTTTCAAATTGCAGACCTATAGATTTTCACTGTTGTTCTTCTGTCCATCTGTCCATCCATTCTTCCTCAGTCTCAAGAATGAAGTTATTTAGATCAGATATAGAAAGCTTAGTGGTCAAAGGCTCTGATTAACTACATGCAAACTTCTGGTCAGGATCATAAGTCACATGATTTTTTAAATTAAAATATGATTAAAAATTATAGCCTGGCATTAGAATGATATCACAATAAGTACTTGTGACATGATTTTTATATACAGTGGGTGATCGGTTAACGAACAGATCGGATAACAAACAAATCGGTTAACGAACACTTTCGCGAAAGATTTTTATGTTTGGACAACGAACACATGATCGGATAACGAACACCCCACAGAACAAACACAAGAAGAAGCGACGTAAAATAATGAATACCGATTGGTTTTCCCTTGTCTTCGGGAATTCGAAACTTTTCGGAGTGTGGGAGACATCGACATCAACGCTCAAGCCGATCGGATAGTATTCCACCGAACTTTGAAATCTTCCCTTGTAATTCCAGCCTTTTATTTTTCTGAGACGCGAGACTGTCGGGTAGGCACTCATTAAGTTTTGCGTCTGTTTTTCTTTTCGAAAGATGAGAGTATAATAGCAAAGGTAGAGAGTAGACAGAAGATACCTAATGTTGCTCGGCAACATGGAATAAACAGGTCTACAGTAGGCCTCAGTTCAATCTTATTTAAGAAAAATGCTGTATAATCAAAAAGACTCCAGCAGCTAAAGCAGTAACAAAAATCACTTCTGAGAAATAAAGAACATTGAAGAGTTCGTAAGGGAACCTGAAACGGATCTGACGACAGAAGAACGGCTAGAACTTTTGAATGAAGAACACTAAGAAACTCGGCAAGATATGTTTTCTTCTGAAAAAGAGGATTAATGTCGATATCTGTTATTAAAGATCCTTTGTAGAAGTGGGAGGATGTCAGAACAACGGTCTTAGAATGGCATCGAAACCATGTTGAAGCTTGGGGACCTCTACAATTACAATGCTATTAATTACTTACGAAAAATCGTGAAGAAGAGAGAGAAGCAATCGACATTAGACAGATTCTTTAACCCTTTCAAAAGAAACAAAACATTACTAATTAAAATGCAACACTGTGTATGTATGTATAGTTTTATTATTACATATAAATAAACGTAGTAAGAAGGTATATATTTTTTAAGGTTTCCATAACGAATTAATTAAATTCCCATTAAAACCTATGGTAAATCGATAATCGTTTAATGAACAATTCGGATAGCAAACAAAATCTTGGAACGGATTATGTTCATTAACCAATCACCCACTGTATTGCTTTACAATGAACTAATGTGAAAGATATATATATATATATATACCATCCTAATCCTACCTCCCAGTGTTGATATCAGTGCATTCACACAATCTATTTAAAAAAGTGGGCTTCAGATCATTAATAAAAGGAGCATACATGCACACATCTGATTACAAAAGTAAGAAAGAGGAAGTGAATTTTATCAAAATCATAGCAGTACAACACAGATACAATCCAACAATAGGATGTGTGTAGCCTCAGATGTATGACGAGGTTGTACCTCTTTTTGTCGGAAACACTTGTCAGTGGACGGCTTGTCTATTTTTACTATCCCGAAGGGTCAGGATTCTTCTTGTCAGGTTGAGTGGAGGGAGAGAGAGGGTCGTCAGTAAGGCGTCAGCGATACACGAGTAAAAGACACCATTTGATAATAAAACAAAATTTTATTAGACAACAACTTAGATAACATAACTAACATCGAGATTCTATCGACCTTATACGCAGATGTGGGTGTGTGTGCACCAAGAAAGAGTTTACAATATTCGTTATCATAAAGTTGCTTGTATACGACATAGCTTGGGTTACAGAGATTCGTCTGGAGCCATTTGAGGGAAATTCGTCCGGACTTGTCCTGGTGACTACACTCTCAGGAAAACTCTTTTTCCAGGCCTTCGACTTCCCCTTTGTCCCAGTGTTCAATCTATTTATCTCCCTGATTATGTTACTTTTTTCCGCCAATCGCGAATTTTTTCGTTTACTTCCCCATGACACATTCTCTGAGTCCTCTGGGGAAGGAACTGACTAAGGGGGAAGGAAATGTGATCATTTCCCAGTTGTAAGTTAATAAACTTTCAAAAGATGGAAAAGAAATGGAAAAAAAATTTTTCTCCAAATTTCGTTAGATCCGACCCTCACATCGGGTACATACAACAAGTACATACAACAAGAGGTAAAAGAAGTACCACCTCAACATAGTGTAATAGTGTAACTTAAACTATTAGTGAACAACTACAGAGAGATCGACAAAACTAACAAGGTATCATTAGCCTTCAAAAGGCATTCAACTCTATACACATTACTTAGGAACAACAAGGACACCCTCAGCAGAAGCAATCTTTCAGGCATACACACCATTTCTTTAATGGACCACAGAATAGGCAAGAAGCTACAGTACATTGGGCCCACCACAAGACTGCTATACCAATGCCTCTAAGGGTACTTAACTTTGATTAAAAAAAGAAAAAAAAAACACTGTTCTTTCCACTCTTGTATTAGAAATGGATGTCCAAACCAATCTAGACCAGACTTTTATGTCTGTTGACAGAAAAATCATGTATTTGGCATCTGAAAAAAATTGAAATATATAAAGCTACAAAGAAGGGATCTGCCAACAAGTACAAAGATAACAACTCCCTGACATAGGCCTGGAGAGCTTTATTTCAGTTATAGAACACCACTCCCCAAGACCAAATTTGTAATAGTCACAACTGACCAATCAGAACTCAACCTGTAATGGATAAACAATTCCAGCACACATGGCATTTCAAGTTTTAAAAAAAAATTATTACATCTTAAATGTGGTTTTATGTTTAAAAGGTGATGGCTTTAAGCCCACTGAAAACATTTGCTTTTGTTACAAACTATATGTTGTATGCTGGAGTTTGGGTATATAATATAAATATAGGAAAAAAAGAACGATCTTATATAGTGTGAGATCTGTGAGTGAGACAAAGATGCACAACCGAAAATAGATAAAACAAAATACAATAATTTTATTTACTCGCTCATTATTATACAGGTTTCTAAGGATACCAACAATGCTACACCCACTGAATAATCCACATCATTAATTATTCGACCACATCATGCTTATTCCAACCGCACAATATGGTCTCTCGACAAAGAGTGTGCATGCGTAGTCCTTTATCCGACCCAATTATCCAATTACTTAAGACTATATTAAGTAAAACTAGATTCCTACTACTACTTACAACTATTGAATAGAGAAGGCTATTAGAAACTTGGGAGAATGAAAGTAAGGGATAGGAAAGAGGGTACCCAAAACTTGATGAGGTATGCTGCTTTTGTGGGCTTGGATGAGAGTTCTCGTTGGGTTGGGGTCTGATTAGCTCCCTTTTTGTCGATCTTTAAGATATTAGTCTGAAGGGTCAATGCATCCTGTTCCTCACAACTAACTTCCTTTTCTTTCTCAGTTCCAAAGTTCTCATCTTGACCATACTGGGGAGACTTCCTCTTGCTCTCTCTCCTTCGGGTTCCCTCCTCAGAGTCCGTCGTTCGCTCCCTCCCCTCAGAGCTTCATTCCTTTCGTTGCTTCTCAGGTTAGTTCACCCACATACCAAAGCTGAGGGTAAAACGAGAACATTCCAGGAAGGGTAGACACATAGGACAGACAGAGGGGAAGCGGAAAATATACAAGATAAAATAACACAATTATATACAAAATATACGATTTAAATATGGCGTGTAGCCACAATAGTAACATACAAAAAGAANGAACGATCTTATATAGTGTGAGATCTGTGAGTGAGACAAAGATGCACAACTGAAAATAGATAAAACAAAATACAATAATTTTATTTACTCGCTCATTATTATACAGATTTCTAAGGATACCAACAATGCTACACCCACCGAATAATCAACATCATTAATTATTCAACCACATCATGCTTATTCCGACCGCACAATATGGTCTCCCGACAAAGAGTGTGCATGCGTAGTCCTTTATCCGACCCAATTATCCAATTACTTAAGATTATATTAAGTAAAACTATATTCCTACTAGTACTTACGACTATTGAATAGAGAAGGCTATTAGAAACTTGGGAGAATGAAAGTAAGGGATAGGAAAGAGGGTACCCAAAACTTGATGAGGTATGCTGCTTCTGTGGGCTGTGGATGAGAGTTCTCGTTGGGTTGGGGACTGATTAGCTCCCTTTTTGTCGCTCTTTAAGATATTAGTCTGAAGGGTCGATGCATCCTGTTCCTCACAACTAACTTCCTTTTCTTTCTCAGTTCCAAAGTTCTCATCTCGACCATACTGGGGAGACTTCCTCTTGCTCTCTCTCCTTCGGGTTCCCTCCTCAGAGTCCGCCATTCGCCCCTCCCCTCAGAGCTGCATTCCTTTCGTTGCTTTTCAGGTTAGTTCACCCACATACCAAAGCCGAGGGTAAAACGAGAACATTCCAGGAAGGGTAGACACATAGGACAGACAGAGGGGAAGCGGAAAATATACAAGATAAAATAACACAATTATATACAAAATATACGATTTAAATATGGCGTGTAGCCACAATAGTAACATACAAAAAGAAATCTGGAAGATTGTTTGATAAGAATCTTGGTTCTCAGACAAAATTTTTTTGTTCACATACAGTAATACCCCAACTTATGCTACCCCGACTTATGTGAACCCGGAGTTACACGATTTTCAAATCTCGTCTATTCGTCTTTTGTTTGAGTGCCACGCAACCCTTGATTATTCACTCCCCCCACACTATTGTTCAGCTTACATGTTCGGATGTGTCGCGTGGAATCCACACATAGCTACAATTTATTTTGTGTTNACACGTCTCCAATATCCAATAGAGCTAAGTTATCCATAGTTGTTTTTCTTAATTTAGGTTACTTACACACTCCTACCCAAGTCTCCCTAGTCCCTAATTGTAACTGATTTAGAACTGGCATGCACTGCATGTTATTCTTCACATTGCAAAATGACATTGCGCATGCGTCAGGAACTTCTGTTCGAACAAACCTCACCTGCCATCCGGGTCAGTAATTTTGAAAAGGTGGCAACACTACCCAGAGATAATCAAGAGTAGAATCTCTCATCTCCTGTTAGATTCTGAATATCACAACTTGGCCAATAAGAAAATTCAATAGAGATCAAACTGGAAGACACAATATCTTCAGAAAGAGAATTTTTAACTTTTCCATTTTTATCTTACTCCAACAGTTAATTAGTTTTTTCAGTTAGCTTGTTCTGTCAATTTCCAAAACTTGATATTTTGATCACTTCTTTCATAGTTTGATCAAAGCAATGCTAATTGAACTCATTTCTTCCCAAGAGAACATTGAAATCAGACTTCAAAATTGCTCACTGACTTGTCTTTTGACTTCTTAATTTGTTACTTGGTGAACTCCAAGTTTTAAATTCAATAAGACCTCAGATTAGAAGCTGAAATAGAAACTTGATAACATTAAATTTAAACTCAATTCACAGTCTTAAGAAAGTGTTTACTAACACCACCGAATGATTGTTCTTTTGTAAATAACAAGATTGAAAAAAATCATAATTAGTTAATATTTTTCAATTTTCTTTGGTTAAATTATTGGGAGGAATCTCAGTCATTTTGTTTTTTTCTTTTTATGAAACTTAACTCATATGACTTGCACTAACTATAAGCAAGGAAAGAGCTAGGTGGTAAGCATGGTAAGCAAACCAAGTGTTGAGGCACCAGCATATAAGGGTGCTTGTTCTATGGTTGAAGAATTGAGAAAAAGCACCAGAGGGTGCACATGCACTTAGCACCACCCCTGCCTATAAGTGAACTGAAAGCAGATGCTCAGCCAAAATCTTATATGAATTCTCACAGATCTTAAATGGACTTGCATCATATCATTTACAGATTTGTGCATACACAAGACACTTCACTATAAAACAATATATAAAACAAAAGCATTTTTAGACAAAATGGTTGATACAATTTAAAATACCAAATATTTTGTATCAAATATGCTTAAAAATATTTTTGTTTTGCAATATTTTTATTGTTATTTATGATGAATTTATAAATTTTTAATATTTATATTTTAGGAACATTAAATTATGTACTCAATCTGTAATGCAATTAGTTAATAAATATAAAAATTATTTTTACTATTAGGTTTTTAAAGAAATGAATGTTCCTCAAATAGTATCTCCAGACATTGTGAATTCTACTAGATATAATTCAAAAATTGCATTAATTGGATGTGGACCTGCAAGCTTGAGTTGTGCTACTTTTATTGCAAGATTAGGTTACACAGATATAACAATATTTGAAAAAAGTGATTGTTTTGGTGGTCTTAGGTATTATCATAATAGTTATTTAAAATTAATTTTCTTAATTTAATTAAAATAAAATGTAATAATCAATTATATTTGTTCTTTGATAATTACAAGTAAAATGTTATTGCTTAAATAACAACAAAAATCAATTCTGAATAATTTATTTATATAAGTATATTATAAAAAGAAACTTAAAATTATTATAAGTTTAAAATGATAAAAAATGATAATGAGGTGATCAATTTGAATAGAAAGATAAAATTTTAATTTGGTTTATTTTTAAATACATTTAGAATGTTTTTAGATAATAGGTGTATATAGATGATCTTTATTGAATACAGTTTAAATTTTTAAAATATTTCATTAAATATCTACTTTTTTATCTAGTTCCACAGAAATTCCACAATACAGATTACCTTTTAATGCTGTAGCATTTGAATTAAAATTAGTTCAAGATCTTGGTGTAAAGGTAAAAATATTTTATATACTTCTCCAAATATAGTAATATTAAATAAAATGTATAATTTCAAATTATTTTGATTACTTGTTGTGTATTTATAAATTATGTTTTGCTGAATCACAATTATAATTGTGATTCAAGAAAGCATGCTATTTCTCCATCATCATCATTTATGTGTTTAAATTATATGGTAAACACAACTCATTTAACAGATTAGAACATAAGAATTTCAGCAGTATATATTTTATGTTCTATAGATATCTGTAGGAAATATATCATTCTGTTTGCATTGCATTTCATCAAGAATATATATTGTTCTGTCTTATATATTTACTAAAGAACAATATAGAGTGTAGACAAAAACATTGCATATAGGCTATTTAGCCTATGACATTTATTTAGCTAATACATAGCAGAACTGTTATGTATTAGCTTGTAAATGTAGCCATAGTAAATTTTTGTGTGCATGAGAACATATATAATCAGTTGTAGACTATTTGATGACAGTTGCTATGTATTCCTGACTCCTCTTCTCATGGAGCAAAATCCTACCTTATCTTCTCAGGAAGTAAAAAATTAGATTATATCCCAGTCATTTTTGAAAACATACAAAAGATATTGACACCATACAATATTGTCTTAACCCTCACATTGAATAGTATTAATAATTTTTTTAAAAACCAAAAAATTAATAAAAAGATTGATATATTGTTAATAATAATTTGGTGTACATTTTTGCTTGTACTTGTCAACCAGAATATTATTACATAGGTGAGACTGGAAGAGTATTAAAAACTAGGATAAGTTCTGTTAATGGGATGCCAGCTGATATGTACAGCAATGGGTGGTAAGATTTAAGCTCTGAAGGAGTTTAATACTACCCCCAGAATTGTTGACCCTTCACAAGATATTCTCCTCCAAAGTCTCCTGTTAGATTCTGAATATCACAACTTGGCCAATAAGAAAATTCAATAGAGATCAAACTGGAAGACACAATATCTTCAGAAAGAGAATTTTTAACTTTTCCATTTTTATCTTACTCCAACAGTTAATTAGTTTTTTCAGTTAGCTTGTTCTGTCAATTTCCAAAACTTGATATTTTGATCACTTCTTTCATAGTTTGATCAAAGCAATGCTAATTGAACTCATTTCTTCCCAAGAGAACATTGAAATCAGACTTCAAAATCGCTCACTGACTTGTCTTTTGACTTCTTAATTTGTTACTTGGTGAACTCCAAGTTTTAAATTCAATAAGACCTCAGATTAGAAGCTGAAATAGAAACTTGATAACATTAAATTTAAACTCAATTCACAGTCTTAAGAAAGTGTTTACTAACACCACCGAATGATTGTTCTTTTGTAAATAACAAGATTGAAAAAAATCATAATTAGTTAATATTTTTCAATTTTCTTTGGTTAAATTATTGGGAGGAATCTCAGTCATTTTGTTTTTTTCTTTTTATGAAACTTAACTCATATGACTTGCAATAACTATAAGCAAGGAAAGAGCTAGGTGGTAAGCATGGTAAGCAAACCAAGTGTTGAGGCACCAGCATATAAGGGTGCTTGTTCTATGGTTGAAGAATTGAGAAAAAGCACCAGAGGGTGCACATGCACTTAGCACCACCCCTGCCTATAAGTGAACTGAAAGCAGATGCTCAGCCAAAATCTTATATGAATTCTCACAGATCTTAAATGGACTTGCATCATATCATTTACAGATTTGTGCATACACAAGACACTTCACTATAAAACAATATATAAAACAAAAGCATTTTTAGACAAAATGGTTGATACAATTTAAAATACCAAATATTTTGTATCAAATATGCTTAAAAATATTTTTGTTTTGCAATATTTTTATTGTTATTTATGATGAATTTATAAATTTTTAATATTTATATTTTAGGAACATTAAATTATGTACTCAATCTGTAATGCAATTAGTTAATAAATATAAAAATTATTTTTACTATTAGGTTTTTAAAGAAATGAATGTTCCTCAAATAGTATCTCCAGACATTGTGAATTCTACTAGATATAATTCAAAAATTGCATTAATTGGATGTGGACCTGCAAGCTTGAGTTGTGCTACTTTTATTGCAAGATTAGGTTACACAGATATAACAATATTTGAAAAAAGTGATTGTTTTGGTGGTCTTAGGTATTATCATAATAGTTATTTAAAATTAATTTTCTTAATTTAATTAAAATAAAATGTAATAATCAATTATATTTGTTCTTTGATAATTACAAGTAAAATGTTATTGCTTAAATAACAACAAAAATCAATTCTGAATAATTTATTTATATAAGTATATTATAAAAAGAAACTTAAAATTATTATAAGTTTAAAATGATAAAAAATGATAATGAGGTGATCAATTTGAATAGAAAGATAAAATTTTAATTTGGTTTATTTTTAAATACATTTAGAATGTTTTTAGATAATAGGTGTATATAGATGATCTTTATTGAATACAGTTTAAATTTTTAAAATATTTCATTAAATATCTACTTTTTAATCTAGTTCCACAGAAATTCCACAATACAGATTACCTTTTAATGCTGTAGCATTTGAATTAAAATTAGTTCAAGATCTTGGTGTAAAGGTAAAAATATTTTATATACTTCTCCAAATATAGTAATATTAAATAAAATGTATAATTTCAAATTGTTTTGATTACTTGTTGTGCATTTATAAATTATGTTTTGCTGAATCACAATTATAATTGTGATTCAAGAAAGCATGCTATTTCTCCATCATCATCATTTATGTGTTTAAATTATTGTGTTGGTAAACACAACTCATTTAACAGATTAGAACATAAGAATTTCAGCAGTATATATTTTATGTTCTATAGATATCTGTAGGAAATATATCATTCTGTTTGCATTGCATTTCATCAAGAATATATATTGTTCTGTCTTATATATTTACTAAAGAACAATATAGAGTGTAGACAAAAACATTGCATATAGGCTATTTAGCCTATGACATTTATTTAGCTAATACATAGCAGAACTGTTATGTATTAGCTTGTAAATGTAGCCATAGTAAATTTTTGTGTGCATGAGAACATATATAATCAGTTGTAGACTATTTGATGACAGTTGCTATGTATTCCTGACTCCTCTTCTCATGGAGCAAAATCCTACCTTATCTTCTAAGGAAGTAAAAAATTAGATTATATCCCAGTCATTTTTGAAAACATACAAAAGATATTGACACCATACAATATTGTCTTAACCCTCACATTGAATAGTATTAATAATTTTTTTAAAAACCAAAAAATTAATAAAAAGATTGATATATTGTTAATAATAATTTGGTGTACATTTTTGCTTGTACTTGTCAACCAGAATATTATTACATAGGTGAGACTGGAAGAGTATTAAAAACTAGGATAAGTTCTGTTAATGGGATGCCAGCTGATATGTACAGCAATGGGTGGTAAGATTTAAGCTCTGAAGGAGTTTAATACTACCCCCAGAATTGTTGACCCTTCACAAGATATTCTCCTCCAAAGAACAGTTTTTAACATTTATCAGTATACTGCCTATTCTACATGCTTCACATGTAGACATGTTTCAGTAGTGAGCACTTTAGCACCTGGGTGTGGACGAGCCCCACACCCCCTAAAACTATATAACATCAAATACTCCACGAACAGTCAAATGAATTACTCAAAGCTGGCACAGTTGCATGGGCTAAATAGTTAAACATGATAGTCTTATGAATGACAGTATCGCATATTGGATTAAAGTTACAACTGGCATCCCGTTAACAGGAAAGAACCAAAACTAGAATAAGAGAGCATATTTGCACAAAAAGTGTAATTACCCTAATTCAGCAGTCACCACACACTGCAATCATGCTGGTTATGAGATCTCACTCAACAGCATGAAAATTCTTAAAAGGGGAAAAAATGTTATANCATCCCGTTAACAGGAAAGAACCAAAACTAGAATAAGAGAGCATATTTGCACAAAAAGTGTAATTACCCTAATTCAGCAGTCACCACACACTGCAATCATGCTGGTTATGAGATCTCACTCAACAGCATGAAAATTCTTAAAAGGGGAAAAAATGTTATAAAATGAAAACTATTTGAGCATTTAAACATTATCAAAACCAATGAAAATAATAGAATGAATCTAAACACTGGTATTGTCATCAGTGACATCTAACAACCATTACTTCAAAAATAAGAAGAATTCATTTTAAGATGTTCTTCCTCTCCCTTCCCCATGTTATTATTTTACTGTACTGTTTGACAATCAGTCTACTTGATAAATGCATTTTATATCTTTTATTTTAGTGGTTTTTACTGATTCCTTTTTAAGGTTTTTATGTATTTTTCACCCTTTCTTAGCAACTTTTATGTTTTATTGGTATACCCTTTTATCACATTTTAATAGTGTATTTTATAGTCATTTTTTATTTTTATTTAATAAGTAAATATTTTCGTTTGTTACTTATAATAAAACCTTAGAATTATATTATGAAGTAAGAAACTTACGAAAATATCCTGCATCACTTGAATTAAATTGTTATTTTCGTATTCGGAAATTAGGTCGATCGTTTCAAGTTTTAACGTTGGTAATCTTATTGTCGTGGCACAGAACTTTCCTCGAACCTTATTATTTGTGGACGACCTTCCATTAGTGGTAGTATTGATATTCAAACATTGATCATAATCACCCCGGAACCACGGGCTGCCTCTGAGAAGACCTGAGGGTAATTTTCCTGTTGAATCCAACACTGAAAAGAATATAAACGTTAATATAGAAATACAATAAAAATAATATCAGAATTTAAGAATACAAGCACATTTTTAATAACTTTTGTTTTTGTTTTCATGATTTTTAGCAATTTTTGTCTACTTGTTAAGGTTAACTTTGTTTACTAACAATTTAAATTCAAACATAAACAAAGAGAAGTTTACAAATCGATTTACCAGTGCCTTTCGAATCCAGGCTTTGGAAATTGTAATTGCTTAGTTAGC